ACAATTTGCTGGAACTCAAAGAAAATTAGCTGCACAGAAGAACAGAAAGATCTTTTTACTCGAATGTAAAAGAAATAAAGTACTTCCGAAGTTTATTAATAACAACACCAAACAACTATGGACCACACCATAACATCTTGGTAACCACAACATACATAAAATTGATGCACTGACTCAACAGGTAAATGTTAAATTACGTAATATTACTATACATGACACTCATTTGTTTGTAATTAAATTAGAAAAGCAAGCCAACCATTATATAGAAATTTTGCAGCAATCGTTACCTTCCGATATTTTTAATGTTTTTATGGAAAGACAATTAATCACATACAATAAACACTTCAACAGAATTAAAAAAGTCAATATAAAAAAGTTAAAAAACCTAATAAGTAATAGAAATAATTTATTAACAAATTCTAATAGTAAGTGGATAAAGAACATCTCAAATACCATCATACCGGAACCAGTTCTGGGATTTTTATCTTTAGGTCCTAAATTTAGTTTGCCTGTAACACCAAAAGATCTTGACATTTATAAAATGATTAGTGACATTGAAAACATTATTTCATATGTACCTGAAAAAGCACAAAATATCATTAGAAGTAAGGCCACTAATCATATTACTAATTACTTGCAATTTAACAAAAATTTAAAGTCACCTTTTGCTGAAATTGAAAAAGAAACTAAGTTATTCCTAAAGAATAATCCTAACCTCTTAGTAATGAGATCAGATAAAGGTAACGTTTCTGTAGTGATGGAGAAAGACATGTACATTAATAAATCACTAGAACTCTTAAATGACACTAACACGTATGTACCAGTTAATAGTGATCCTACTAATAAAATTGAAAGAAGTTGTAATAAACTAATCAAACACTTAAAAGATAATTCATACATCACTCCAGAAATGGCAAAGAAACTAACCATGTATAATGGTATTTGTCCTAAATATTATGGATTGCCAAAAGTACACAAACCTGATGTACCTCTAAGACCTATTATATCATGTGTACAAAGTTCCACTCAACCTTTGGCCAAATTTCTATCAGAAATTCTTGATAAAGCTTTCTTAAAATATAACAAATTTAGTATAAAAGATACTTTTGGTTTTACTAAAAAGATAAATAACATGACGATACCGGAGGGTTACGTGATTGTTTCATTCGATGTAGTATCTTTGTTTACAAACATACCTTTAATTCTTATAACATCGATAGTTGAAGAACATTTTAATCTAATTGAAGCCTGTTGCACTATTCCTAAGGATCAATTTGTTAATATTATCACATATTTGTATAACAATACTTTTTTCTGTTTTGAAAACAAATTCTATAAACAAAACACAGGTTTACCGATGGGTGGGGCTACTTCTCCCATTATGGCTGAAATTGTGATGAACAAATTATTGTACTTTGTTATTGACCAGGTAAATTTCACAATTCCATTTATTTATCTCTATGTTGATGACTTAATTATGGCTGTTCCACATGATAAGGTACAATATACACTTAATATCTTTAATTCATACAATTCACATTTAAAATTCACAGTGGAGGAGGAGTCTAACTCATCTGTCCCTTTCTTAGATACTTTATTTGTTAGAACTGAAAGTAATTTGATTTGCCTTGATTGGTATCGTAAAAACAGTAATTCCGGGAGATTTATTCCATACAATTCCTATCATCCCGAAAAACAGAAAATTAATGTTGTTCTAGCAATGAAAAATAGAATCACTAAGATTTGCCATCCTAAATTTGTTAACAAAAACATTAAAATTTTATTTGATATATTGTTATCTAATCAATATCCAAAAAAACTGCTTAACAAATTGTTATTCTCTAATCCTATTGTAAACAAGGATACAAATCAGAATGTTTCTCTAGTTGATACTCATACGAGATATGGTAAACTACCTTTTATACAAAATCTATCTAGATCACTCATTAGTTTATTTAGTGAATTTAATATAAAAATATCTACCTACAACCAAAAAACACTTAACTTGTTTTACACCCGATTAAAAGATCCTACTCCCACCTTACAACGTTGCAACGTAATATATGGCATCCCATGTGAATGTGGCTTAGTTTATATTGGTCAGACTGGCCAAAGGTTAAGTAAAAGATTGGCCCTTCATAAAAGTGATTGCAGACTCAAACCACAATCTACAAGTCTTAGTATTCACGTCAATAGCAAAGACCACAGAGCCCTCTATAATGACACATTCATCTTAGATGTATCTAATAGAGATTTTCAGCGTAAAATACTTGAGATGTGTTACATTTATAATGCGAAAAATGCCATCAATCACAAGAAGGATGTGGATAATTTAAGTTCAATCTACACCTTCCTGCTTAAACAAAATATTTCAGGAATAAAAAAATTGTCGCCTAGATATATGAGTGATATAGGTTAGATTTTTAACTATTTTAATTTAAAAATATATAATATAAAAAAATACTATATCTCCATCATTATTATAAAACATTCCTCATCTGTATTATTTTATTATATTTTCAATCAACCCGTTTAATGACAATTTTAATTATTTTATTTTTTATATTTTATATTTATTTCAGTATTCGTTGTTAACATTTTAGATTATATATGTCATGTTTACATTTTAAATTATCCCGCTAGTTCAAACAAGTTTAGTGACACCGCCGATAATAATTGTTAATTACTTTTAGATTGTTTTTAAACTAGTAAAATTTTTAAATTGTTTGTGGTTAGATTTATAGTAAATATATCGTTTATAATTAAATAAAAAACACATTGTAAACTATGGATACCATTTCTGCAACTATGTTTAATATATACATGGACAATACTTTCTTTGTGTTCAACCCAAGTCACTGAGTTACTTGCTAGAATTAGGGTAAGTGTTTTATAAATTTGTATACTTAGGTTCTACTTGTTCATTGTTTGTTCTCTCGTTTGTTTGTAGTTTACTCTGATGATGTCAATAATCATTGACGAAAGCTTAGACCTTTAATTAAAAGCACATCGAACGAAGCACCCTAGTTTTATTTTGCTTCCTCAGTTATAAGGGTACTTCCCAGTATTATCTCCTTTTCACTATATATATATATATATATATAATATATATATATATATATATATATATATATATATATATATAAACCATTATTTTTTCTTACTTGTTCTCTGTGTTGTCCTAGTACATCCGATGATTCTTGGTCTTTTACGCCTTCTCTACCATTGAGATCGCCAATTATTATTATGTTACCTTCTGCGCTATCTATGATCTCTGTCGCCTTTTCCCAAAAAATGTCCTTGGTGTTTGTTCTTTCGGTATCGTTTGGTCCATATATAACAAAGATGTTGACTGGTTTCTTCTCTTCGGTTGTCATTCTAATGTTTAGGATCCTTTCAATAATACATTCTCAATCTTTAATGCTACTAGTCAAGTTTCTATTGATGAGACAACCAACTTCTTCACGTGCTCTTTCTGACGGGGATGCTCCACTGAGTATTAAAAAATGGCCATTTTCCAGAAACTGTGTGCTCTTACCTTTTCTTTTGGTCTCTGTGATTCCTAGTATGTCTATTTTAGCCTTATTAAATTCTTCTACACGTTCAGCCTCCTTGCCGTTGAGACCTCTTACGTTCCATGTTCCTATTGTCCATCCTTCAGGCATTCTGGTTTTTTGAGTTGCCGTTGTTTTCACACTTTTAATCTCATTAATTGCAGTTGCTTTGTGTATTTGTAAGCGTTTTTCATCTTTCTTCTTTTTTAAGTTTCCATACTGGTCTTTGTATAGTGCTTTACTACTACTCATGTCCTTGTTCATGTCCTGTTTCGTCATCGTTTTTCCATTGCCGTTTTTTATTAGTTTTTTGGTTTGTCTATCTTATTTTCTTTATAATTCCATTTCCATTCTTCCTTATTTACCCACAAATTATTTGTGCCAATCTTTATGTCGTTGCCTTTATCTCTCTCTTCTCGTGCAATCATTCTTATAGTTTTTTGTATGTCTCTTTCTTTCATTGTGGTGTCATTGCTGATATATATTTTTTCTTCCTTGTGGTTTTTTAGCTTGTACTTGTTCTTCATGACTTTGATTTTTTCTTCCTGATCTTCTAGTTCGATCAAACAGATTTTTGTTCCCAGCTTGTATGCATATTTGATTTTGACCTAAATTCCCATATATGTTTTGAATATATTCAGCATCGCCTCTTTTATTACTCTCTGATCATAGGTATCTATTAATATACCATTCAATACTACATTGTTTTTCCTCCTTTGTTTTTTCATAAATTTCATATTCTCCTTGAGTTATTTCAATTCCTCTTTGATTTTTTTGTTTTCTTGTTTTAGGTCTTTGTTTTCCTTCTTTAACTTTTTATTATCTCCGATGAGCTGTTCTATTGCTTCTTTAATGCTCTTTTGGTCGTTCTTTATCTCTGTGACATCTTTTGCCAACTTGTTCATCATTTCAATTATGGTATCTAGTTTTGATTTATTTTTATTCCGTGGTGAGTTTGTTGAAAGCTTTCTATTCTTCGTATGCTCTCCCGTTTCTTCATCTTCGATATCATCCTCCCTCATTTTTATTTTAATAGATTTATATATTTATAAGAAACAACATAGTTTTTTTCACAAATTTGTTTCAAACGCTTTACTTTTTGCTGATAGACGAAAAAAGCAAAAATTTACCGATTTTTGGTCTTAATTTGTTAATAATTAATTAAGTTCACAAAATTGACTATAGGAAACATAAAAACTTTTGTTATAGAGGTCCATACTACTCAAAACAGCTGTTGGTTGCCTGGTCAGACGAGTGTCTCAAACATAATATTTTTTTTTGATTTCCCTGGTATATTTGCATTTTTTTTAGACAGGTTCTTTGCTCCGTTTTTACAAAGAACGGGTTTTTTTCATAAACCTACTTTACTAATAGTGATTATTGTTCAACTGAATTATGTAGAGTTATTATTTTAAATAAATTTTAAGTAAAAAACCATTTACTTACCAATAATATCGGTGGTGTAACAAGCTACATTCTCAAATATATCAACATCTACATCCTGGTCAACGTATTGTTTCAAACTTGATTTTAAATCTTCGCTGCATTTTTTTACAGTTTCGAAAAAGTATCTCATCTTTGCAGAAGTAAAGATGTTGGTAAATTTGGCCTAAAATAATTTTTCTTTTATTGTCTCAACACATTAGTTATAACAATAAGAATCTAAGTAAACCTAAGGATCACCAAGGACCTATAAGTAGAGAGAAGAAATGTAGGTAAGGTAAGGAGTAAGGCAGGCTTGTATTCTCTTCCTACTACTTCTAATTAATGATGAAAAATAAGTGAAGATTATGCTATTGATTATATGCAAACCATCAATAACACATATGTTTTCATGTTTATGATCATTATCCTATTAAAATTCATAACGAAGACGCATTTAGGTATAGCTATACCAGACGCAAAATGGAACTTAAAAAATGTGGATTGGATGACATTTCAAAGCCATATCCAACACAACTTTCATGTCATCAATCAAAACAGTATTTTGAATAAAGAAGTTTATTACAAAATTAACAATATATCTAGCAGATACAAATGATGGAAAAATTAACTTAGCCAGTATTCCTTAGTGTAACAATGAAAGTAAACAAGCAATACAACAATCCAAAAAGCGTTTAATGAATTCAAACTATAGAAAAATGAACACAACTCTTTAGAATTTAACACAAGGCGTTTAAACAAAGAATTTAAACGAAAGAGTAAGTCCTAGCCAGATTTACTATTTACATACGTTTCAGCAATTGACAGTTATACTTCAATGACAATTGTATGGAAAACCAAGAATATCTGGTACAACATCACACAAGTCGATGAATCTGTTACAGTTAGAGGATAATAATATAATATAAATTTACTAAATTGTTTAGAGAACAAAAAAAATAAAGAAAAATATACCATAGATTATCAACTTCAACTAACAGCGAAGTAAACTTTCCAATATCCATAGATGAAGTAGAGCGAGTAATGAAATGCTGTAAGAACTTATGCTCTGGATAAAATAATATACCAACTATTTTGCTAAAAAATCACACCTACCCATTTAAAGAATACTTACTCAGCATCTGCAAGCCAATATTTTTGAAAAATTGATTTCCAAAATCGTGCAGAAATTCAATCCAGAAAGGAAAAATTTAATGCAGAATCACTGTGGAACTCCTCTACAAGAGCATTGTACCATTGTACCAAAGGAGGCTACCACAGAAGATATAGTTAAAACAAATAGACGACATCGAGGATACAAAAGCATCGAGCTGGAAGAAAATTAAAAACAACATTGAAGAAGCTGCACAAAGCTCTAGGAAAACGTCAAGTCATATTCAACAAAAGAAACAACAACAATGACACAGGTTCAGAAAAGAAATATAAATATAATATATATATAGAGAATACAAGAGGCCCACACTAAGAAAAAAATTGCATGCAAGATACTAGAGAATGACGATGACACCAATGGTCAAGAAAAGAGATAATGAAGACAAAGCAGATGAAAAGATAGAAACCCAACAATATAGAGGAATGCACTGAAAATAGACTTAAATTATCATAAAAGTCCAATGCAAGCGAATTCTACGATAAACAAAAACCAAATTGAAGATTCATACGAAAACAAACGAACAGAAACGGCAGACTGCGTAATAAAGTATTATACTAAGACAAATCACAGAAAAAGGTACGAGAGATACCTAACGGATACTGTTTAGAGGACTAACAAAGTTTAGATAATAAGGAACATAACAATCAATAATATACAAACTATCGAAAACATCTACTTCCATAACCGAATACAGGCAAAGATAAATGAAAAACTCAGAAAGTGTATACCTATACAAAGCAGAGTCAGACAGGGTGACTCGTTAAGTCCAGTTCTCTTAAATATAATATTGGACGAAATAATGCAAGCAATACGTAAAGGTCATGGTTACAGAATTGGAACAAAGAAATCCAAATATTATGTTTTACAGACGACGCCGCATTAATCGCCGAGACAGAAGACGAGCTCCAAAGATTGACACACATCTTCAACACAACAGCCAAGATATACAATATGATAATATCAGCAGAAAAAACCAAATGTATGACAACATCTAAATCCCCACTATGATGTAAAATTGAAATTTATGGGAAAATAATAAAGCAGGAAGCAATGTTTAGATATTTGGGAATAGATATAACTAGTTACGAAAATTTTAAAGAAGTACGACAACAAAGCTTAAAAGCAAGTAAAGCGACGGGATATCTGGATGACACAATCTAGAAGAACAAACACCTAAAAGATGACATAAAAACAAGAATCAATAAAGTAACAATTAGGCCTATATTAGCATACACGGCGGAGACGAGACCTGACACATCTAAAACGATACGACTACGAGAAACAACAGAGATAAAAAAACTCGACGAGTATGAGAGAAAAATCTGTTGGATGGGGATAGAAGCAAAAATATAACAAGAGCATGCAATATAAAAGACATAAATGGATGAATGCCAAGACGGAAACATTAGTGAAACGAACACATTAGGAGAATGACAGAGGATAAGATAGTACGAATAGCACGAGATAAATCACCAAATAGACGAAGAAGTATAGTCAGACCAAAAAAAAAAGATGGTGCGATAATTTAAACAATTTAGGAGGCTAATATTAAAGAAGAAACAGGCTTTAAAGCCTACATACAAAAAGGAAGAAGGAAGGGAAGAAATGCAATAATAATTTCTAATCACTCATGTGGTATCTGGAATCAAAGAAATCAATTATATTAGAACAGAGTGATTTCCGGAAAAGGAAGAAGGAAGTGAAAAATGCAATAATAATTTCTATTCACCCATGTAGTATCTGGAATCAGAAAACTGGCTTCCGAAAACATAGTTCTATTGTAGACAATCTTATTGATGTAGAATTGAAAATACATGAGGCTTTCGCAATTAAACACCACTGTATTTTTTGACATTTGTAAAGCCACTATTCAGTATCTAACTATTCAATTATAAAAATCTTTAGCGAATGGATGCTGATAAGCAAAAAGCAACAACCTGCTCGACAATTACGGATAAGTAACATACTAATTGATCATGTAGAATCTTATGTGTACCTTGGCACAAACGTAAATGCAAAATGGGAACAGGCCATACAAAATAAGGCGAGAATATAACGAGCTAGAGCAGCATTTAGCAATATGAAAAAGCTCCTCCGCTAACGAGAAAACTAGAAGCATTTGAAATTTGGGTGTACCGACGCATTCTTCGTATATCCGGACCGAACATGTCACCAACATAGAGGTACTCCAAAGAATCGGAAAGGACGAAAGAAATCGTGAATAGAATTAAACAAAGAAAGCTTGAATATCTAGGCCACATATTGAGACACGATAAGTACCGTCTGCTACAATTGATTGTCCAGAGAAAAATAGACAGTAGGCAGAGGCCAGGCAGGAGAAGACACTCGTGGCTCCAAAATCTGCGGAAGTGGTTCGGGCTCACATCGATCCAACTATTCAGAAGCGCCGCAAACAAGATCAAAATTGCCATGTTAATAGCCAACGTTCGCGACGGATAGGGCACTTGAAGAAGGAAGAAGAAGCGAATGGAAAATCAAAGGTAACAAACTTAATCATAAATCGTAGTTATTAAACTCATTAAAAAATAGACAGTTTCAAGTTAGATACTTAGCGTATATTTCTCAACAAGAAATAAAAAAATGGTGTACCACAGGGCTCGAACCGTAGCAAAAATTAAAACAAAATTTAACAATAAAAAGAACTAGTAATTTTCACTCGCCTCCGGATTGGTCATACTCGGTTAACACACGGCTACCTACTAAAACGTGCTGATAAACCTATGTGTGACATGTGTAAAAATATCTTAACGGTAAAACATACCGGTACCGTAACCTTAACGTTACCATAGTACTTAGGCCATGTTATGAGGGGGCAAAGATACTTATTATTGCAGCTTATTCTTCTTAACGTGCCCTATCAAGTCCCTGGACATTGGCGATAAACATGGTGAAACTGGCTCTGTCTCGAGCTATTCTATAGAGTTGCTCAGCTTTCCTTATTCCTGTCCATTCTCAGATATTCTTCAAACAAGAGGCCTGCTTTCTAACAATTCCTCTGCGTCCTTCGAATTTACGCATCAAAATAAGTTGAAGAATATTATATCGGTCTCCCCTTACTACGTGTCCAAATAGGCCATCTTTCTACATTTGATGTTATCAAGCAGCTCGCGAGCAGCATTTGCTCTCTTAAGGACTGCCACATTTGTCAGCATAGCCGTCCATGGAATTTTTAGTATACGTCTGTGCAGCCATATTTCAAAGGCCCAGACGATTAATGATGGATATTTTTAATGTCAATGCTTTGACACCGTATAAGAGGACTGACCAAATGTAGCATTTAACCATGCGCTTTCGAAGTTGAAGTTGCAAGTTATCATTACAGAAGAATGACCTCATTTTTAAAAATGTCGTGCGGGCTATCTCGATTCTACATTTTATCTCTTGATCTGGATCTAGTTGTTAGTTCAGGTAGATATGGCAACCAAAATATCTAAAACTGTACACTCTTTGAATTATATGACCATCAACATATAATCGTGCATTTTGACGTGCTAAACGGCTAAACACCATGTGTTTTGTTTTTGAACAGTTTATGTTTAGGCCAAACTCTCTTCCACTGTATCAATGGCATTTAAAAGGCATTGTAGTCCAATTATGTCATCACTTAAAATAACTGTATCGTCTGCATATCTGATTGTATTTATCAGAATTCCATGAACTTTCACGCCCCATTCAAATTATGCAGCGCTTCTTTAAATATTCTATCTGAATATAAATTAAATAACAGTGGGGATAGTATACAACCCTGTCTGATACCTTTTTGTATTTTAGATACTTCTGTTAATTTTCCGTTTATGCAAGCTGTCGCTGTTTGACGCCAGTATAACTTTTCTATGAATCGTATATCTTGACTATTAACTCCTTTATCTTTTAATATTGTAATTAATTTGTGATGCTGTACTTGATCAAAGGCCTTTTTATAGTCAATAAATACAGCAAAGACGTCTTTCCTTTGATATCGACATTTCTGCAGTAATACATTTAGTGCAAAG